AAACGAGAAGAGCGTCAGCTGCAGACCAATACCACAACTGACGACGGCCTCCAAGTAAATCTGGTTAACAGGTTCATAGTGATAGCTGATTTCTGGTAAATTATAGTTGTAATTAGTGACAACTGATAGAATACAACTGCAACAGGCTAATCATTTCATTGGCAGAAAACATTTGCATTTTGTGGAGGCCGTCGTCACTTGTGGTGTATGGTCTGCACTGACGCTCTTCTCATTTTTTGAGAGGGATATACCTACACATGGAAAAAAAACAATTGGGGCACCTAACCTGCCTCATTTCTTAAAAATCAGGAGTTTGAGATAGATCTTAGTCGTCGTAAGTTGTCACATTTTCATCATTTTCCTCTAAATCAGTTGATCACTAATTACAACTATCATTTACCAGAAATCAGCTATCACTATGAACCACTACTAACCAGATTTACTTGGAGGCCGTCGTCAGTTGTGGTGTTGGTCTGCACCGACACTTTTTGAAGGGGAGGGTAAAATCGTTAGTCGGCTCAGCACCAAAATCAGATAAAAGAACTCTCACGAGTTAAATCCAATTAAACTACAATTTCGATGTGTATAGCAATTAACGTCGCATAGGTTTCCTGAATTTCGATAACTTTCAAAGACATCTTTTGCAGATTACATAAGCTTTTATTACTCTTCTATCTAAAACTGTTTAAAACTCTCAAAATGTAAATAGCTTAAAACGCTTCTAAAACATTCTAGGGTTCTACTATCCCATGAACGAGAAATCCAGTAAAACAGATAGGAAAGCCGCTGCCTCCTACACTCTAACTGAGGTAGTGTTCTCTAACTAACAAGATCATGCACGGGTACGAAAAAATCTAACCAACTCTAGCAACTATGCATAACAAACTTTGCAAATATAGTATCAAATCATGAAATGATCGGGAATCATTAATGGTTGCGAATCCGCATAGTAATACATCGGAACATTGGAAAAAAACAATAAAGTGCTGATAGGAACCATAACCGCTGAGAAGAAGGAAAATACGAATGCATTTATGGAATGCACGTGCCAATCACCGAGTGGGTGCAGTGAAACTCGTAATAGTACAAAAGCTAACAATCTACAGCAACGTGAATAGTGTGTGAAGATTTTGCTCTGATGATAACTGAATGGTAAAAACATCTTTAATACACTGGCTAATGTTCATTGGAACGGGAACGATAGAAGTGATGACCTCTGTCACATTTTTCGAAGTGAAAATGTGACGTGTCCGAATGATTTACACGAATCGATTTGATGAGCTCTCCTGCAGGACACTGCATAGGACGATAGGAGAAATCCTTCAAAAAAATCTTTTTTGTGCAACCGGAGCGGAGATGGTTTCAGAGATTTCATTCATATCGCGTTGGAGCATAATATCGTAGCGCTTGCGTTTTTCATTTCTTCACACAAACATTTGAAGCAAAAAATAAAAACATAAAACTAATCAGTGATGTTCACTTCGTCATTATTTACAACTTTGACTGCATTTCGCAAGAATCACCGGATTACCGGAAGAATTAAAAAAGGGTACTGAGCCCGTTTTCAGAGTCCTCATTATTCTCAATATTGTACGACGTGAATATGATTTGAAATGAGGGGTCGATTGGAGTAAGGTTCAATGAGGGCGATGTGTTCTGAAAAACTCCTCCTTTGGTAGCTTTTTTCTTAAACAGCTTTTCTGCCACCATTAATTTCAAATTCCAGCTACATATCTCAGTGTTACAGTGTTGAAGAGAATGACAACTACCGTTTTGTAGAGCGAGAAGAGTACATTCAAATAAATAGTATGACCGGTTTTTCGGGAGATACTTGTACCGATTAAATTCATACGCTCTAAAAATTGCCACGATATTACGCTCTAACCCAATATGCACAAAGAGAATCTTTCAATAAACTTGCCATGTCATAACTCGACAAAAGAGCTGTAGCATTCCTTTCACTTCGTCTACCTCTCTTTTCTTGTAAGTGAACGCGTGACCTGATTGTGTTTCCTGCTGTAAACGCAACTTTCTCGAAAGTGGACCAAGACAACGAAATTTCAATACTCTACAGGAAGAATCTTAACTTATACCGTCGGTATCACACAAAAAGGAGAAGATTATCGATATGAAGCACGGAACATGAAAAAAAACTTACAGTGACCCTTCTGCTGGGAATTTTGTTGGGAAAGCGCTTCTGCAGATGAATGCAGCATTCGCGATGACAATTCATGTTGACCGTCTTTATTAACAAGAGAATCCAGACTGTTTTGCTGAAACAATAACCGAAAAATTAGAATGTTCTCGATAAGCCCTAAAAATTTGTTCGCACCATAACATGACGAGCGGACGTTGTATCGTTTTCTTGGTGCGCGAAAGTGAAGGATCGGTCATCCATAACATGTCCGGCCAACTTTAAACAGTTACCAGGGTAGTCTTGTCCGACACCTTGCTTCTCAAACAAGCTGCTACATGACGAGCTGCCCTTCAGAATACTTCGCTGTCTACTTGAATTCTCTTCAAACCGCCCTGCACATGCCAACGAATAACCTTGAAGGGAATAATCCTGCTGGTACATGGACTTTGCATTGAACAAACCAGCCCCTTTCAAGATATACGATTCTTCTCGATGCCTCGTGTCATACCGCTCCCCTTTCGTTCCAGGGAATTCTAGCTGGTTCATGGTCTTGTAAGCGAATGAACCATCTCCTTGAAGAACATCGGAATCCTTGGGCTTCTTCACAGCGTAGCGCTCTCCCTTGATAACCACGAATTCTTGTTGGTTCATAGTCTTGCCTGCGAATGAACCATCTCCTTGGATAATGTCAGAATCTTCAGGTTTCTTGCTGCGTATCGCTCTCCTTTGGTGACAGAGAATTCCTGTTGGTTCATTGTCTTGCCTGCGAATGAGCCGTCTCCTTGAAGAACATCGGAATCCTTGGGCTTCTTCACAGCGTAACGCTCTCCCTTGATAACCACGAATTCTTGTTGGTTCATAGTCTTGCCTGCGAATGAACCATCTCCTTGGATAATGTCAGAATCTTCAGGTTTCTTGGCTGCGTATCGCTCTCCTTTGGTGACAGAGAATTCCTGTTGGTTCATTGTCTTGCCTGCGAATGAGCCGTCTCCTTGAAGAACATCGGAATCCTTGGGCTTCTTCACAGCGTAACGCTCTCCCTTGATAACCACGAATTCTTGTTGGTTCATAGTCTTGCCTGCGAATGAACCATCTCCTTGGATAATGTCAGAATCTTCAGGTTTCTTAGCTGCGTATCGCTCTCCCTTGATAACCACGAATTCTTGTTGGTTCATAGTCTTGCCTGCGAATGAACCATCTCCTTGGATAATGTCAGAATCTTCAGGTTTCTTAGCTGCGTATCGCTCTCCCTTTG